GAACCTGTACATAGACCAAGAGGCAGTTGTTTGAACAGAACAAAGGAACACTGAATGTTTTAAAATTAAGAAAGGTATGCGACAGGGTTGTATCCTTTCACCACACTTACTCAATCTGTATGGTGAGCAACTAATTGGAGAAGTTGGATTATATGAAGAAAAGCATGGCACCATGATTGAAGGAAGACTCATTAACAACCTGTGTTATATGCAGAATCCTGGTGTGGTGCTGTGGATAAATGCGCCAGACTGCAAAGCCATTTGAACTACAAGGTCGGTGGTTCAAGCTCACCAATTGCTCCTTGGAAACCATATACAGGGTCGCTATGAGTCAGAACCGACTCTATGGCACTTAACAACAACAACACTTGCAGATGACACCATCTTGCTTGCTGACAGTGAAGAGGACTTAAAATACTTACTGATGAAGATCAAAGACCACAGTCTTTGGTATGGATTCCATCTCAGTGTAAACAAAACAAAAATCCTCACCACTGGACCAATAAACATCATCATATAAATGGAGAAAAGATTGTAGTTTTCAAAGCCTTCATTTTGCTTGGATCATCCATCAACTATCATGGAAGCAGCAATCAAGAAACCAAAGGACATATTGCATTGGGCAAATCTGCTGCACAAGACCTTTTCAAAGGGTTGAATAGCAAAGATGTCAACTTGAGGACTAAGGTGCACCTGCCTCAAGCCACGGTATTTTCAATAACCTCATATGCATGTGAAAGTTGAACAGTGAATAAGGAAGATCATAGAAGAATTGATGCAATTGAGTTATGGTGTTGGAGGAGAATATTAGAAGTACCATGGACTGCCACAAGAATTCCATGTTGGAAAAAGTACAGCCATAGTGTTCCTTGGAAGCCAGGATGACCAGACTTTGTCTCTCGTACTTGGGCCATAATATCAAGAAGTACCAGTATCTAGAGAAGGATATCATGTTTGGTAAATTGGAGGGTCAGAGAAAAAGCGGAAGACTGCCAAGGAGATGTATTGGTACAGTGGAAGCAGCAATGGACTAAAACATAGCAACAATTGTGAGGTTGGCACAGAACTGGACAGTGTTTCATTCTGTTGTGGACTGACTTTATGAGTCGGTTCAGACTTGATGGCAAACAACAACCGTGCATCTGTCAGTTTGCTGTAATATGGTGACTTGCGCATTGTTGTCATGCTGGAAGCTATGCTATATTATTTTAAATACCAGCAGCATCACTCGTGGTGAACAGTTCAAGCCGAGCTTCCAGACAGATGAGGAAGAAGGATTGATGGACTACTTCCAAATACTATGTTGGCCATAGGGGGGCTATGAGTCGATACTGACTCAACAGCACCTAACAACAGATTTAACCTGTATGTTGATCAAATAATCTGAAAAAACCAGATTATGTTAAGAAGACTATAGCATCAGGATTGGATAAGGGCTCATTAACAACCTGTAATATGCAGATGATACAATATTGCTTGCTGAAAATGAGTGATGAAGATTACAGACTACAACATTCAGTAAGGACCGCACCTTATAAATAGCATCAATTAATAGCATCATGATACATGGAGAAAAGATTGAAGTCGTCAAAGACAACTGGGATCCAAAATCGATGCTCATGGAAGCAGCAGCCAAGAAACCAGTTTATACTCTCTGCTCTTCAGCGTTAGCTGTTACTGAGGCTATTCAATGTTTTAATTCCCAGGATCCAAATTCAGTGCCCTCTGAAGAAAAGAAGCTCTTTGCGGAGGTCTCAATTTCAACACGGATGAGCAGCCATCGGAAGACCGCTTCAGCAGCTCGGACCTATCTCTGAGGTGGTTGTTGTTAAGGATGGAGAGACTCAGCAATCTTGGGGTTTTGCCTTTATCACCTTTACCAATACAGAGCATGCTTCAGTTACCATAGGAGCAATGAGTGGAGAGTCTTTGGATGGTTGTCAGATCCATGTGGATCATGAGAGCAAATCCACACGGGGAACCAGAGGGGGCGCTTTTGGTACTCATGGGCATGGTCCCAGCTACTCCAGTGGTGGTGAGGACCAGGGCTTTGGGAGTACATGTATGACAGTTGACCTGGAGGATACAGAGATGGCTATGGAAGTTCTAGAGATTATAGGGGCAGAAGCCAGGTGATTCTGACCATTACTCTGGTGGAGATTAACAAGGAGGAAACTGAGATGATACGTGCACAGGTAACAGAGACACACAAGGAATCAAAATTCTCTCCATCCAGGATTGTCCTCCAGATGGCTGTGTTTATTATAAAAGATGTTCGAAGCTGCACTGAAGCATCTTTGCTTTAGTACACCAACTTCTATTTTTTAATTAAGCTCCCAGGCTATTAAAAGATCTTTTAGTAAATCCCCGTATGTTTTAAAAACTTTTCTCTCCTATTTAAAGACAAATTGTGTGACATTTGTAGAGTCTGGGTATTTTTCCTTTTACCAGTTTTTTAGTTTGGACACTCAGGATTATTCTGGCAAAAAACTTTGGCCACACTGATTTTTTGTTTGTTTTAATTTGAGTATTTTGGGGCATTCAAACATTTTTGTACACAATATTTCTTTATCATGGTTAGACAACCATTTCTGAGTGTACCTCCAGGAAATCTGCAGCAAGAATGTGATTACTTACAGGTGTTGTTTTAATCTACATTGATTACATTACCCTGATTACATCTTTGTTGTTGTTGTTAAGTGCCATCAAATCGGTTCTTTCATTTGTGTCTGGTTTTTACTTGGTACCCATGTTTTTAATCCACAAGATCGTCTTTCTGTGTTTTCATTCCTTCTTTGGCACCTCACTCCTGTTATGTAAATGGGACATTCTCTCAGGTCTCCCCGAGGGTACACCCAGGGACCCATGTGACCCCACAGACTCTTAAAGTCATTTGAAAGAACCACAGGTAACCATCCCAAGTCGCCACAAACAGCTGACATTTTCATTTTGCTTTTGATGACAATTCCCAAACAGTGTAGTTCCAACTCAAAAAGCCATTTCCTTGAATACTTTCTACCAGTCTCTCTTCCTAAAGTAAATTTGTGTCAGTTACATTTTGTCTAAGTTTTTCCAGCAGGACCACAAAAGGACTTTGCAAACACAGAATGTGACCCCACTTCCTCACACTCCTCTCTAGAGCCGGCAGTTCCTCTCTCAGCCCCCAAACACTCCTCACAGGCTGTTCCACAGCATTCTGCTGCCCCTGTCCAGCCCTTTGTCCTCCAGCTGCCCCTTCCCACTAACTGGCCCACAGTAGCCACAAGCTGCCCAGCCTATAACTCTCCTTCTTAGGAGCTCTAGGAAGACTTCAGGGGACCCCAGCACTAGGGCTTGCAGGAGGTCTCCTTGGCCCTGTTCTCTGGAAAATTGATTCTCTCATTCTGTTTCAAGGAGAAATTTGCAGGAAAAAATTCTCAGGGAAGATTTGAGGTGGATAAAAGGCTTGTTAAACCTGTGGCGGCTGGAACCTGTAAGGACAGAGGTTTCCTTACTTTTCTGGTCCCACCAAGTTTTCCACCTCTGACAGAGTGGGGTCTTAATTAGCTACTTGTTTGCTGCTCTGCTTAGTGGAACATATCGGAGCTTCCCTTCCCAAGCAGGTTTATAAAAGGTCTGGCCTTCCCAGGTTTGACTGTATTCTCACTCTCATCCCAACTTGGAATCTTTTACATTCTCACACTCCTGCCTTACCTTAGGTTCTTAGGGTGAGTTCTCTGCTCAGAGGGAACCCCCTCATTGATGCTGCTTTCCTCTCTCTGATCGGATAAGTCCTAGGAGTCAGCTTGTGCTTATAAATGAGCCCCAGCATCTACTCTCTCCACCTGTGGCCCCCACCATGAATAGCTGCTAGCCACAGGCACTGGGGGTCCAGCCAGGTGGGTAGATGGATACCTCTCCAGGTCCTCAGTCATTCATGGAACCCCCATTCCCTTGAGAACTGTTTTCCTTCCATCACTGATTTGGAAGGAAAGTGTGTGCAGGCTGACTGAGAGGCCAGTACTGATATGCTCATTTTGAATCACCCTTGGGACATCCAGGGGGAGTGTCCGGGGGGAGCAGGACCAGGATAGTGGGGCTGCCTGAGACAGAGGCAGAGAGCTGGGTTAGGTGGGCATGAAACAGACTTGTGAGTCAGGAAGGGATTGTATAATAAACTAGGTAAGCATGGGCTGGTTGATATTTGTTAAATGCCATTGGGTCCGTTTTGTCTGATAGCCACCCACCCTGTCTGTATAGGGTTTCTGAGGAGCAGATGGTAGGTTTGAACTGCTGACCTGTGGTTCACAGTCCAATGCTGATCTTACAGCGCCATACCAGGAGTCCAAGCATGGGCTTGCTTGTGCTTAATTACTAATTTGTAGTGAACAATTTCAAGGCAGCCTGTGCTTACACTGCTGACCGGGGCCTCCATCCATGTCAGTGACTGTCAGTTTGAAAAGAGGTTCTGATTCTGTAGGAAGGGGTTTGGGGTTGGGAGCAAGGCAGATGCCAGTCAGACTTAGAAGCAGAATCTTTGACATGGTGAAAACATGGTGAAACTGTTCACAACAGATTAGTAAGTGATGACAAGTAAGCTCGTGCTGGGCCCTCTAACACTGGCCTGAGCTCTCACAGTCCCCTGGGCCAGGTGTGTCTGTCATCCTTTTATAGGTGAAGCCCACCAGGGTGCTTGTGGAACTTGACCCAGCTCTCACTGGGTTGGGGCTGAGGGGCTCTTGGCCAGCCTGTGCACTATACGCTAGCTCCTAACTCCAGTGATGGGATCAGGACATGCTGGGACTCTGGGGTTGTGACTCGGCTGTCTGCTCTCTGTGATGCCCCCCGCGCCCCTGGCTCCCTTCTCTCCTTGCAGATGAATATCTGTGACTGGAACCAACGACGGGTCACCCCGGACACTGGCATCGCCATTCCGAAGCCGAACTCCACATCACCTCTACTGTCCAGAGTGAACGGCTGGTCACTGCCTCTCAACGTCTTGCAGGGGATGGCCTGGGTCACCTTCCTGGTCATGACTCTAGCCAACTTCGGTATCTTCATCCCCCTGCTGCCCGGCATGTGGAGGCCTCTGGTGTACGGTGTATCCTTTGTGCTGTGGACATTCACACGGGTCTGCAGAGGATTAATTAAATCAGGGGCACTTCCTTGGTCATGTCTCCCTGCCCAGGTCAAGCACATCCCTGACCATGCTGAGTCCTGCCCACTGTGACTGTGTCCCATGTCCCTTCCCACTATAGCTGTGACCATGTTCCTGACCTCGCCCCTGCCCACTGTGACCATGTCCCTGTCTGCTGTGACCATGTCCCTGTCCACTCTGACCTCGCCCCTGCCCACTCTGACCTCGTCCCTGCCCACTATGACCATGTCCCTGTGCTCTGTGACCTTGCCCCTGCCCATTGTGACCATGTTTACGGTTGCCCCCGGGCCAGGTATTTTATTTCCTGCTTGGTGTGCTCAGCACAGGCAGATTCGGCTTGGCTGTATCTCCTCGCCCCTCACTCCAAATTCCCCATGTCAGGGAGCTGGAATGCTGTAATCAGCTGTCTCCCCTCTGAGGCGTGCCGTGCAGTCCTTGTTAAAAACACAGGCATTCCCCATGAAGAGAGGCCCTCAGAGTGAATCGGAGCTGGCAGCATTGCTGAAGGAAGAGAGCCCATGAGGTGGTGGGGAAAGTGGGGCCGGTTTGGGCAATGAGAAAAAGGAAGGAGATTTCAGCCATGTTCAACAATTATTGTTATTAAGTGCTGTCGAGACAGTTCCAACCCATAGCAACCCTGTATAGGGTTTCCAAAGAACCGCTGGTGAGCGTGAACCACCGACTTTGTGGTTCAAATCAACCTTGCAGTCCAGCGCATTAGCCCACAGTTCCACATCAGGACTAAGAGGCAATTTATTGTGCAAAAAAGAGTCATAACAATCAGAAAGATATGACATCATTAAAATACCAAGAAAAATCCTCATTGCAAACATGGTTGCATCCACAGGGATAAGAGTTCAGAGTTCTGGTATGGTGCTGGACCACAAGTCCAGGGTAATACACTGGACCGCAAGGTCAGTTTGAACCATAAGGTCAGTGGTTCAAACTCGCCAGCTTCTCCTCGGAAGCCCTATATAGGGTTGTTATGAGTCAGAACCCGCTTGGCGGCACTTAACAACACCACCAACAACAACAGCGCTGCTATAACCGAAATCCCACAAATGAGTGCCTTTAACACACAGGTGTATTCGCTCCAAGTCTGGGAGGCTAGAAGTCTGACTGTGGGTGCTAACTCTAGGGGAAGACTTTCTCTCTTTGTCAACTCTGCAGAAAGGGCCATGTCTCCTTTCAACATCTGTGGGTAGCACTCCACCTGCTGGCCCCTGGAATAGACTCCAAGCCCTCGATCGCACTGACAGTGTCCAGAGGCCCTCCTTCCTTGACGCGTCCCTCAGGTGACCAGTGGGCTGTTCCTGTTCCACCTGGTGGTCCACATCATTGCTATCTCCACGGACCCTGCGGAACTAAATGTGAGAATGAAGAACTACAGCAAGGCCATGCCCATCTTCGACCGGTCCAAGCATGCACATGTCATTCAGAACCAGTACTGCCATCTGTGTGAGGTCACCGTGTGAGTCCTCTTCCCACCCCACCCCCGGCCCTCACCCCCAGACCTCATGGGCAGAATCCATGTCGCACCCCTGGATGTCCAGGAACCAGACCCCAGGGTCCAGGAGGGGTGACAGCTGATGTTCAGGGAGCACATGCTGGGCTCTCTGTTCTTATGAGGAGGACACAATGACATCCCCATTTCACAGATGCCCGGACTGAGGCTGGACCCTGAGGGTGCAGCAATCAGTGCTCTCCTGAATGAAGAGCAGTGACCTCAGCCCTAGTCTTCCACCCTACCCTGGTGGCTCCTGAGCCCAACAGACACCCCCCATCCAGAGTCCAGGTGTGAGGGCCATCTTCCTCAGGTTTCAGGAACCCTCCTCTGTCCCCTTGGGGATAAAGTGGGGGAGCCCCCAGCCTGTGGTCTACCCAAGTCCTAGGACATCCAGAAGTCCTTGGGTGTTTGAAACAGTCGGAGTTGTAGCTGGGTTCTGGGGTGTCTGGATGTTCTGCGGTTTTTGGGAAAGTCAGAGGTCTAGCGGGGTCCTGGGGTATCAGGTGTTCTGGGGTGTCTGGGGCAGTTTAAGATGTTGTTGTTGTTAAGTACCATGGAGTCAGTTCTGACTCATAGTGAGCCTGCACAGGGTTTCCGAGGCTGTAAATCTTTACGGGAGCAGAAAGCTTCATCTTTCTCCCATGGAACAGCTGGTAGTTTTGAACTGCTGACCTTGCGGTTAGCAACCCGGTTCGTAACCACTACGCTGCCAGAGCGTAACCACTACGCTACCAGTTTGAGGGGTAGGGCATGCTTTAGGCCAGTGGGCTAGAGTTTGGATCTGAATGTACTTGGACCCTGGAATTACATGGAGCTTCATGTCCACCAGGGACACAGGGCTGCCCAGAAATCCACTTGTCCTCCACTGGACCCAGAAGATTCCTGCGCTCCACCATGCTCCCTTGCCCCCCTATGCTCCCCACCAGGCACTCCATCCTCTCTGAACTTCCTGACTTTTACTGCCCAGACTGGCCCCGTGTTTCCTCCAGGTCTTCACCCATGCCTGCCCTGGGTTTGTTGAAGGGGACACAGGCGGGAACCCCAGTTGGACCCCACCAGGCCTGATGTGGGGCTGACAGACAACCTCTCTCCCTTCCTTCTAGGAGCCCGAAGGCCAAACACTGCAGCGCCTGCAACAAGTGCATCGCGGACTTTGACCATCACTGCATGTGGCTCAACAACTGCGTGGGCAGCAGAAACTACTGGTGAGCCTGCCTGGGTCCCCTGCCCATCCTGAGGAGGGGACTCGTTCGTGTACATGTGACAGTGCTCCTGAGTGACAGTGGCCTAGAAGATCCATGTCAGGGGTCTTAGGGAACAACCCTGGATCCCATGAACCATGGTGGAAGAGTGGGCAAATCAGGGGCTGCATGGCTGTTGGTTTCACTGTCATGAGTGCATCTGCCAGCGACTTCCCTCGAGCCATGGGTAGAGGTTGAGGAGTTCAATCAGAGATCAGGGACAACGGGAGGGAAGGAAGGCCCACCAGGGCAGCTGTTGTGTGGGCTATGCTGGGAGCAGAAGTCTAACATTGAGCTGAACTAAGTCCTGTCTGAAGATTCCATGAGTCACTATAATCCCTGCTATTCCGGGGCCAGATGTTACTCACCTCTGGACATCAAAGAACTGTATTTGTTGTAGCATAAAGTCAGTTCTGACTCATTTGTTGTTGTTGCTGTTGTTAGGTTCCATCAAGTCAATACCAACTTATAGCAATCCTACGCACAGCAGAAGGAAACATTGCCTGGTACTGGGTCAACTTCATAATCGTTGCCTGAGCCCATCACTGCCACCACTGTGCCAATGTATCTCTTTAGGGGTCTTCCTCTTTTTCTCTGACCCTCCACTCTACCAAACATGATATCCTTCTCCAGCAACTGGTCCCTCCTGACACTATGGCTGAAGTATGAGAGACAAAGTTTGGTCATCCTGGCCTCCAAGGAGCATTCTGAATGTACTTCTTCCAACACAGATCTGTTTTGACTCATAGCAGCTCTATATTGGGTTTCCAAAGAATGGCTGTTGATTTTGAACCGCTAACCTTGTGGTTCAACTGAATGTGGGGCCCAGTGCTTTATCCCACAGCACTATACCAGGACTTCCATGATTTATTCAATATACTTTGTCAACAACATAATTCAAAGACATCAGGTCTTCTCCAGTCTTCCTTATTCAATGTGTAACTTTCACATGCCGATAAGGTGATCAAAAATACCATGGCTTGAGTCAGACACATCTTGGTCCTCAAACTGTTGTCTTTGCTTTTTAACATTTTAAAGAGGTTGTTTGAGCAGATCTCCCCAACATAATGTGCTATTTCATTTCTTGACTGCTGCTTCTATAAGCAAAAGCTGGAACAAAGAAGAATTGGCAGTTTGGTGATAAAAATGATGCTGGAGATCTCATGAAAGAATTCTATGACCACAAAGATGTTACTGTCATTAAGTGCCACAGAGTCGGTTCCAACTCATAGCGACCACTTGGTGAGCTTGAACCGCAGATGTTGCAGCTCAAACCAACTTTGCAGTCCAGCACATTAACCCACACCAGACTTCGAGAGAGCAAATAAAACAAACACATGAAAATCTTGGAACCCTGAGCTTCAGAAGAAAGTTAGCAACATGGATTGAGCACTTACTAAGAGGAGAAACTGAGCAGGGAGGCAGAGAGAGGGAGACTGGGTGGTGAACGGCAGGCCAGATGCAGTGGGACCCTCTTGAGCCTTTGAGAGCAGCTTTGGTGACAGAAGGTGGCCTGGAAGAGCAGAGTCACACAGGTGACTGGGAAGGTGTCACCCACACTCCCCTGGAGATAAGTGGGCTGGTCAGATCCCACCCTCATCTACCCCCAGCACAGAGACACATGGTTGGGAACCACGCCAACTGAGCTGCTTAGGTGCGCTGGTTTTGGTGTCTGGATTTAGGTAGGCTTGGCTGAGGACCTACAGAACCCACAGAGTCACCAGACCACCATTAACCAGTCACTCTGCCTCCAGCTGCCCTGGATAACAGATACTGAAACAAGCTTCATGGAGGTTCTCTATGAACTACTTTCATATAACATGGAGGACAATAGGGACTCCATCTAGGGCCAGGAGCTTTGCTGTCACATCCTTCCCACACCCACCTCAGGAGCTCCTGGGCTTATAGGCGCTCCCAGGGCTTTCTCCTCTCTGGGTACAAATGCTGCACTGTTTTTATTTCGAGGTTTGTTTTGTTTCCTTTTGTTGTTTCATTGTTTTTGTTTGTCTCCTCTCTCCTCCTCCTCCTTCTCTTTCCATTCCCTTGAATTTTATCCTTTCTGTTTCTGCTTTTATTTCTCCTTCTTTTCTTCTGTTTCTCATCTCCCTCCTTTCTTTCCCTTTTGAGCTTTCTTTCCTACTCTCTACGCTTTCTTTTTATCTCCTCTCTACTTGCTTTTTCTGTAGTTTTTTTTCTTTTTAATTTCTTCCTTTTATTTCCTCTCTTATTTTTTCTCTCTGTAGCTCCATTTTCCTGTCCCTCATTTCTCTTTTTAGTTATAATTCAGTGATCTTTTAAAAACTTATTTCATCCCTTTATTTTCTCTCTTATTTTTCTCATCTAATAGCTACATTTCCCTGCCACTCTTTTATCTTTATAGTTGGTAAAAAAAAATTTTATCTGGTTTTTGCCTGTTATAATTTATTTTTTATTTTTATTACTTTCTCTTTTCATTGTTGGTTCCTTGTTTGTTTATTCAGTTTTGTTTTCTTGCATATGTATATGGGTGGGAGAGGTTTCCCCTTTCCCACCTGAGAGGGGACATCAAACATGTCCATCCAGTCCAGTCACAACTGTACCCTCTGCAGCTCTACCCACTGGTCAAGAGCCAACACCAGCTCCTATACCACCAATAGCGTAGTGGTTACGAATCGGGCTGCAAACCTTAAGGTCAGCGCTTCAAAACTACCAGCTGCTCCGTGGGAGAAAGATGAGGCTTTCTACTCCCTTAAAGATTTACACCCTCGGAAACCCTGTACAGGGTCGCTATGGGTTGGAACCTACTCAACGGCACTTAACAACAACAACGAATACCACCCAATAAATGATAGATAGCAGTCAACACCAGCCAAACCCACCGTAAACCGAGGTACAAAAACAGTGAATGAAAACAGTGCCCACACTTCTATTCTTTAACTACAGCCACAGGATACAGTTGGTGAGATCTTAAGAACACATCAACATACAACCATCAATTGAATACAAATGCAACAACCTCACAATGCCCCAGAGACAACAGACAATTTTAGCTCTTGCAAAGAAGCAAAAGAGAATGGTTCATACCAATGACCAAGATGCAGAGACAGAAAATGCTTCTGAGGAAGTAAAGGTAATGGAACTAACTGAAAAACAATTCAAAATAATGATATTTAGGTACCTTCAAAAGAGTGACAGAAATATCAGGAAACCAAGGAGAACTGTGAAAAATGATTAGAAGGACTCAGGAAAATACTACAAGAACAAATAGATAAAATAAATGAAATTCTTGAAACAATACAAACCTGCAATTAGATATCCAGAAGATTAGTACTAAGATTTCAGAGATGATATTACATTGAAAGGGTGAAGGAGTAGATTTGAAACAATGGAAGCCTGAATTACTGTACTCAAAGATAAATCTCTCTATACTAGCATGCTAGAAGGACAATCAGAAAAAATAATGAAAAAAATTCAAAGAAAGCCTAAGAATCATGTGGGACACTATGAAGAAGAATAACTTAGGGGTACTTGGAATTCTAAAACAGGAAAATACAATAAAATTCACAGACAAAACTGTGAAAGAGATGTTGTGGAGAAAAAGCTTCTCATCATGAAAGATGAGAAGAGAAGCATACAAGAAGCTGAACGAACCGCATACAGAATAGATCCCCAAACAAAATCCCAAAGACATATCATAATCAAACTTCCCAAAATCAAAGACAAGGAAAGAATCCTGAGAGCAGCTTGGGAAAAACTAAACATTACCTGCAAAGGAGAACCCATGAGACTAAGCTCCTGATTTCTCAGCAGACTGGAAAGGTGACATATACAAAAGTCTGAAAGAAAAAGACTGCCAACTGAGAATCATATGCCTAGAAAAGCTGTCCCTCAAATATGATGGTGAAATTAGGACATTTCCTGATGAATAGAAACATAAGGAATTTGTAATGACCAGATCAACTTTACAAAAAGTGTTAAAGGGTGTCCTTTGGACTGAGAAACAACAACAGCAGACAATGACCTGAGGTGACCATACATGACACCACCATCCAGAACTTGCCAGATATAGAAGTATTTAAAGTAAAAGAAATCTACAAGACTGAAAATAGGGAACCACAGGTATCAATGTATAATGAAGTCAACTACAGAACAAAAAGAGGGAATAGTGTAGCTACAGAACTTCCAAATG